GAGGCGTTAAAATTTACAAGTCATTACTTGTTTCCGAGAACGACTGATTAAGATTATTTTTCAAGAGCAGCTGCCAGGATTTCATTGTCAGGTCTGTCGGATTTGCTACTGGGACATGAGTAAATGGTGGTGTCATCTTCATAAATAACTAGTTGCGAACTGATGACATTGGGGAAATGAGTGATGAAGACCATTAATATTGATGAAAATATTATTAGAATAGCCGAAAGCGCTCGGATATATAGAATATTTGGACAGATTTTACACACGTTACGTCCAGAAATAAAGCATTAAACGGACAGAAGAAAATTTAAATAAAAAGCTCAATCGCAGTACCTTGTTAGTTCTCTTTAATGAAACTTTATGTATATATATATATATATATATATATATATATATATATATATATGCAACTGATAATAACTCGTATTTATCTGAAACTCAATCCTTAAAACCGTTATTTAACTTCTCTCTTGAAGATTTTATTCCTCACTTTCACTTTAGGCCCTTTCTTCTTCTTCTTCTTCTTCTTCTTCTTCTTCTTCTTCTTCTTCTTCTTTTGCATCTCTCTCTTGATCTTTCATACATTTCCTGCTCACTCCCACATATACAATATCACTGAATTTTTTTTTTTTTTTTTTTTAAAACCCGGAAATATATTTTCGGTCTTCGTTTTGAATTTGGGGATCCAATGAATTGGGTCGTGATTGCGATTCGAATATAATAAACTAGCAGTAGAGCCCGGCGTTGCCTGGGGATGTAACAGTAAGAGATAGATCAAGTATCGACCATCATAAAGACTGAAAAATAAAATTGACAAAGATTATTGTTTAAGGTTGACGCATGTCTTAATTAGTTTTTTTTTTTTTTTTTGCGAATTGGTCAAACCCAAACTCAAACAAAAACATTGTTTTCAATCGTTATGAGTCTACCAATTGAATAGAATTTTATTATAAATAATTGTCTTGTAAAGGGAATTTTTAAAGCATTCTGAATGTAAAAATAAAGAAAAAAGTGTGCAAGATAATAAGAAACACTACCTGCCAAAAAAAAAGTGAAGTTTTGTTGAAATCGGTTGAAACATGTAGGAAATCCGATCCCATATATAAATGAACACACACACACACACACACACACACACACACACACAAACAACCTGGGTTTTATAATAAGTATGACTCGATATGAGTTGTCCCCGTTTCATTCTCGTGATGCCTCTTAATCGTGTTTTCAAATTGATTTCGCGCAAAAACAATTGTGTTTTTCCAATTTTTGGCACTGTCAGAACCACCGCAAGGTAATTTTACGTAGTCCTGTGAAGTGTTGTTGAAATCGGTTGAAAAATGTAGGAAATCCGATCCAATATATAAACGTACAGACACACAGACACAAACACACAATCTGCGTTTTATAATAAGTAAGATTATAACCATGAAATATTAGTGTTTGAGCCTTTTATATATTCTTGCTCTGTCTTTAACATAGAGCTCTATCTGAATTTTATCTTCTTGAAAACACACACACACACACAAACACACACACACACACACACATATATATATATATATATATATATATATATATATGAACATAGAAGTCAAATATTATATATATATATATATATATATATATATATATATATATATATATATATATATATATATAAGTGAGCATAGAAGTCAACACTTAGAGGCGACAGACTGTTTCATGATAGACGCAATCGTCAGGCCGCGAGTGTTGTTTTTTTTTCTCGGCTATTTATATATACCGGCCAGTGGTGCATTGTGAGTAGTCTATTTTGGCGGTTATTTTGCCGGTGTCGTTTATTCTTTTATTTGGGTTAATTTATTTTGATTGTTTTTATTCATTTTTATTTTTTTATTTCTTATTTATTTATTTTAATCAGTGTTTTATTAACGTAGTAAAAGTTTCTTTATATCGCTTCTTTAATAGATTTGTTTTGATAATTAAAGCTATTTATTCAATTTTGGGGTTGATTGCTGTAGTTTATTCGAACTATTATTTAGGCGGGAGCAGTTTTTAATTTGTTCATCACTTCATTTACTTATTTGGATTGATTATTTTTACTTGTTTTTTCTAACGATTGATTTATCTGGATCAGTGTGTTAGTTTATTTATTTGGATGAATTTAGATCAATTTATTTTACTTGTTTTCATTATTTATTTATTATACTGTATATTTTTATTTACTATTTTCGGTTTTCGATTTTTAAGTAACAGTATTGATTTTTTTTATCGTTATATAACAGTTATAGCTATGTTCTGCCTCCGATTTTTGGTTTGATTTTTATAGTCTAACTAATATATTGGCCATAACGGTTTGTTAATTTGTTTATTATTTATTTGGTTTCATAGATTTTGTTTTTTATTTATTTATTCTATTTCGTCTATTCTAACGGGTGTGATGTGGTCATTTTTGGGGGTTAATTTATTTCACTTATTTTGTTGTCATTTTGTTAATTTATTTATTGATGTATTTATTTATTTTTTATTTTCACTTTCCGGTTTTTAAGTAACGTAGTAAAAATTTGTTTTCATGTCTGCATTTTGAGATGAGCTCGGATCTTTTATTTAATAATTTATTTTGGTCTGGGAAGGTAATGATAGCTATTTTTTACTCCAAGCTAAGTTTGCAAGTTTGGGATTGGTTGTTGTAGGCTGATGATCTTTTCCTTATTTTCCAAGATATTTTTGGTGTGATGCGCGTTTTGTTTTTAATTTTCCAGGTATACTTAGAAAGCATTGTGCTGTTCGCGTATTTACTACTGAAAGATGTTTTGTGTGTATAATTTCTTTGTTTCCAGGGTCCTTCAGTTACTCCTATGTATACTTTTCTTTATTATCTGGTGATTTTATCGTGGCTTGGTATATTACGTTTTTTGTTTTTTGTTTTTTTTTTTTTGTTTTTTTAAGCAATTACCGTTCAAGGAACATTCGTTCTTTATTCTGCAGTTACACGAAGGTTTAATTTGTGTGGTTTGTTGATAGTTTTCCAGTTGTGAGTTGAACGTTCAACCCACCGCACAGGAAAAATATTCTTCAAACTCTTACAGAAACACTTCCCGGAATCAAGCACCCTACACAAAATATTCAACAAAAACACAGTAAAAAATCAGATACAGTTGTACCGAGAACATGGCACAAATAATAAAAAGCACAACATAAAATTGTTTACAACGTAATATACCAAGCCACGATAAAATCATTCATTCACAAAATGCAGACATGAAAACAAAATGACAATAAAAAAGTAAAATAAATGAACCAAAACAAATTACTAAATCACACGGCCCAAATAATAAAAAAGCACAGCTGTCGTATCTTCATAATCACCATTAGATACATTAAACTCTTTCCAAATATTCTGCACTTTGTTCAGATTGACATCCAAACAATCTAAAATGTTCTTATTAGAGTTTCCGGCGCGAATGCCAAGCAGTAATATATGCCGTTTCCAAATTTCTGACGGATTGAATTGCTTCATGGTATATATATATATATATATATATATATATATATATATATATATATTCTGGATATAAATTATTTAGGAATTGTTCGAATGTTCTGTATGTTCGAGCGTTTTCGACTAAACTTTTAGCAGTTATCAAGGATGAGTTTATTTTTACTTTTAATTGAATATATGAATTTTTTGATATATGTATCTAGAGTTAAAGGAATGTTTTATTTTCCAAACACTGTCAGCATTTTGTGGCCGTGTTCATAGTTGATGTTGATTCTTTATTAATAAAATTTTTATTAATAAATAAATCATTTTAGCTATGTTTTACGAGTATGCTGCAGATGGGGTTTGGTAGGTCACTTTAATGAGACCTAATTGGGCTATATATATATATATATATATATATATATATATATATATATATATATATATATATATGAAGATATATAGTTTGAAGTTGTGCTATATTTATGGGATAAAGTGCTAATATCATAAATAGAGCCTATATAAATATAAAAGTGGACGTTGAAGTCTTGAGTTTAATGTTCACTTTTATATATATATATATATATATATATAGAGAGAGAGAGAGAGACAAAAAATATGTATGTTTGTGTTCTTGCGGGTGATTATTTTAGACGTGTATTTTAGTGTGTTTTTTTACGTACGGTGGCCGTGAATGAAAACTCAAAGTTCCATGTTAAATAAACAATATTTAATTACAACCGAAAATAAATACTCAGCAAGAACAAAGAAGTAATAAATCAACCAAAGATAATTTCATTGTCAGTAGCGCGGTTCGGCTTAACGTCCGGTAAATTCTTAATCAAAACCCAAATCATCGACGCAGAATAATTCACACTAATTCGACTGGATAGATCCACTCAATAGTCACTCAATAATCACCGCAGTCAGTAGCCTGACACCGCTATTTATACACCTGGCGGAAAACAAATATACATAAATCCAGAGTGTCACGCTCAAACCTCGGTATCGATAGTTACTCATTTTCTTCCTATATGACAAATTTACAAGATACCCCAGTTTTTTAAACAGTGTTAATATGTATCAACCGGCATGGACCGATGTATGTATTGTAATTATTTAATGTACAAGTTTTGTTTTGTTTTTGCAGTTACAGTCTGAAATGTTTATTATGATTTTTATTTATGATTTGTCTCTAATGTCTTTTCCGAGCTGTTTTAGTTTTGGGCGGGAAAGTAGCCTTTTCTCATATATTTGTTGAAGTTAAGTACATATGCATCTTTGAGAACGAGAGGGACAATCGCTATTTCTTACTAGTTTTCAGTTTCTCATTTTCTTCAATATTTTAGCCTAAATATTGAGGCGGCATTTTTTATTTTTTTTATTTTCCCCATTTCCTTTGCTTGTTGAAATTTCTTTTTTCTTTTTTTTGTTTCGCCCGTTTCCGTCGAATTCAATATCATGATTGATTTCTTTTTTTTCTTTTTCATTCTTTTCTCTTTCTTTTCTCCATGATTGAAACTCTGACTTCATGAAAGTTTATGATTATATCGTCTTCATTTTTCATTTCACCAAATTGATACTTTTCTTTGCACATCAGAAAGACTTCTTTTTGATAAAAAGACATGGCAATCTCTCTCTCTTTCTTTCCTTCTCTTCCCCCATATCTCCATTGGTTTCTATCTCAGTCTCTCTCTCTCTCTCTCTCTCTCTCTCTCTATCTCATTCTCTTTCTTTTTTCTTTCTCTCAGTCTGTTCTATATCTATCTATCAGTCTGTCTGTCTACATATATTTCAGTCTGTTCTTATCTATCAATCTATCTATTTTAGTCTGTTCATATCTATTTCACTCTCTTCATATCTATCTATCTATCTTGCTTTTTTCATATCTATTTATCTATCAGGATGGCTCATGTATCTTCCTGTCGAAACCGACTGAATAAGCCGTAGTAGTGAATTGTTGAAAGTGGTCAGTTGTATATGCAGCGAGTTACTGGAATACTCGACTGGAATTCGAAATTGGCTCTCCGATATATATATATATATATATATATATATATATATATAGTTAAGTTATGAAGAACTTGATAATCCATATGGGTAATCCCAAGGAGGATGAAATCCTGAGAGCGCAATGTAAATCCAGAGTTAACATTTAAAAGAAAAACAGACCACTTTAAGGTACCATTATAATAATTTATTTCACCAGAGTCCTTTTAATTTCATTTTTCGTTTCATTTCATTTTCGGAAGTGCTATCTGATGATCCGGTGTCCTTTAAAAGGGCTCTGGTGAAATAAATTATTATAATGGTACCTTAAAGTGGTCTGTTTTTTTTTAAATATATATATATATATATATATATATATATATATATATATATATAAACGCAGACAGTTTCATATCTTCATGTGCTGAGTATGAACTGAGTGTTACGCAATTTTGAATTAGCGGCGTAAATAAATGTTCTGTTTATAATAAACTACATTTACCAGCCTGAATATCCGCGAAACTTCATACAAAATATGTGTCTGCCAACAGGAATCGAACCTGTATTGTACACGGAACCGTCACTTGGCCTTTGATTACTCCGATATTCAGGCCAGTAAATGTAGTTAATACTGTTTATTGTAAACAGAGCGTTTACTTGTATCTATAAATAAAAAGTATAAACAGAAAAATATATGTCGGATTTAATCCATTTCATTATATATATATATATATATATATATATATATATATATATATATATATATATATATATATATATATATATATATATATATATATATCAGTCTTATTCAACCCCGGTGTATAGACTGTAATCATGTCGGACCTAGAAATTTAACTTTAACAGAAGTTATCCCTTTCGATGAGTCGGTGGTTAGGTGGGTGGAAGGTATTATCATTAAAGAAAAGGATTTATAAATAAAACCGGGATATTAATCTCATGACATTAAATTGGAGTTATATGAAGAATGAATTGTTAAATTGAAGCAAAAAAAATGCGTCGAATAGGGAGTTTTATAAAAAATCTTTTATATATAATTAGTTAAATTCCTACTTAAATAATAATGATAATATAATGTAAGATAATATTATATATATATATATATATATATATATATATATATTAGTAAAATTAATGATATAAAATGATACAATATAATTTCCATGCATGAAGATGAGTGAAAGTGCAGTCGAAAGTACTTGTGTATTTAAGACCTTATACAGCTTATAATTTTTAAAAAAACAAAAAACATAACATTCCACGAGTGATTAGTTGGTCAATACATCTTTAAAATTTTGTCAGCGAAGCGATTTCGACATTTTATATCATTAACATTACTAATTTATTTTTTATATGAATCATTTATTGTAATATAAATTGAACTTATATATATATATATATATATATATATATATATATATATATATATGTGTGTGTGTGTGTGTGTGTGTAATATTTTTTTTATTTTAAATGCTTTATTCTGTAATATTTAAAAAAATATTTTTACTTAACATCCGGCTTAATATCTAGATAAACTTGGTAGATATAACAGACATATATATATCTATATCTATATATATATAGATAGATAGATAGATAGATAGATAGATATATCTGTAGGATCTCCAAGTTTTGACAATGAGATTGCCAAGTTCGCAAATAATTTAAATATTACGGATAGAGTGAGGAAGGTCAATAACAAAGATGCATACATTTTATTTAAGGACCAGAAAACCTAACTTCACTAATATTATACGGTCTAGATTAATAGATGATATGTCCTGGAAAGGGATATATTTGATCGAAGTAGCCAAGCGGGTTTGGTTAATGTAACCAAGTAGTACACGGCAGCAGTAATCAACCAATACTCGTCGTAGTCGCAGGTAATAAGTGTAGACTAATAGGATAGCCAATGGCGTAGACCAATGGGCGTTGACATAAACTTAAACTCTCTCATACCTACACGTCCGTCTGTATTTATGACAGACACCAGCCAATCATATTCCAGTGAGTGGGAACTCAGGTGTATGTGTATTCCATTATATCAATACATTTAACTAAAACTGAACGAGGTCTAATCTCCAAAAATATAATCCAAAAAATAACCGATAAATTACTAATTACAACCTGTAGTGATCTTTGGAAAGATTCATCAGATACAATAAAATAGTTTGCCAATATGAGTGATAAGGAAAAAGATATTTTTATTAAATTTGATATCATAGATTTTAATTCTTCAATCTCCAGGGAGCCCCTGATTAATTGTATTAACTTTGCAAATGATTGCTCACTTGTAGCTTATACCCTTTAGCATAAGCAATGGATCATTAATAAATTCTCTCAGGCATCAAAAGCTTTCTGTCTGACAATCAGTACAGAAAAAAAAAAACGAAACTTGTCTATCAACCTATCTGTAGCCCCCACCCAGCAAAAATCTGTTAATTCCATTGTTTCCTTCTTTTTTTTTTATCTATCCTGGTTTCTGTCTATATTTCTGTGATGAAGTATTATGTACACTATTTTCATTATTCGGACTATTGTCATCATCTTTGTCGCCATATTTATTACAACGTTTCGGCCCTTCAGTATCTGTCTATATTTCTGAGATGAGGTATTATGTACACTATTTACATTATTCAGACTATTGTCCTCATCTTTGTCGCCATATTTATTACAACATTTCGGCCCTTCACTATCTGTCTATATTTCTGAGATGAGATATTATGTACACTATTTACATTATTCGGACTATTGTCCTCATCTTTGTCGCCATATTTATTACAACGTTTCGGCATTTCAGTATCTGTCTATATTTCTGAGATGAGGTATTATGTACACTATTTACATTATTCGGACTATTGTCCTCATCTTTCTTGCCATATTTATTACAACGTTTCGGCCTTTCAGTATCTGTCTATATTTCTGTGATGAGGTATTATGTACACTATTTACATTATTCGGATTATTGTCCTCAGCTTTGTCGCCATATTTATTACAACGTTTCGGCCTTTCAGTATCTGTCTATATTTCTGAGATGAGGTATTATGTACACTATTTACATTATTCGGACTATTTCCTCATCTTTGTCGCCATATTTATTACAACGTTTCGGCCTTTCAGTATCTGTCTATATTTCTGAGATGAGGTATTATGTACACTATTTACATTATTCGGACTATTGTCCTCAGCTTTGTCGCCATATTTATTACAACGTTTCGGCCTTTCAGTATCTGTCTATATTTCTGAGATGAGGTATTATGTACACTATTTACATTATTCGGACTATTGTCCTCATCTTTGTCGCCATATTTATTACAACGTTTCGGCCTTTGAGTATCTGTTTATATTTCTGAGATGAGGTATTATGTACACTATTTACATTATTCGGACTATTGTTCTCATCAGTGGCAGCGATTATAATATTTGGATGAATCTTTTGGTAAATTCAGTGGTACTATAACTATGATTTTTCCCTACTGTATATCAACTGAGTTTCCTTTATGAATTCCAGTGGCGAAATTTAAAACAAATCTAAGGGCGGCCTGTTCAGCATTGGATCGTTTATATTATTCTTTCCATTTTCTATTAGGCTTCGTTGTCCAATGTATTTACTATTGGCCAATAGAATGTTGAGTTGATGTTATAATTTGAACATATGATTTTTGCTTATATCTTTGATCGACTGTATTAAATAAGCCGTTGAAATAACACTCTTTTTGATGAGGTCTATTTCAGCTTGAAAGTTGACCTTCATACGTCTGGTAGAGGGTTAGAACGTGTATATACGTTTTTTTATCGAAAGATTTTTTTGTCAAAGACAAAAGGACACGTCTGGTAGAGGTACATTATTTTCATTATTTGATTATTGTCCTCATCTTTGTTGAAATGCAAATCATATAAATTACAACGTTTCGTCCTTTGTACGCTCCGAATGAGCCTTCTTCAGGTGGTTGGAATGTCGAAGCCATAATCGATCTTTTATTTCGCTCACTGGGCTAGTAGATTGTTGAGTTCCAACGTGCCACATTTAATGCATGTCAGTTATCAGTTATATCCTGAGTTAATTTCCATCTGAAAGTCCTCCACTGCCTTTCACATTTTATGGGTATTGAACTCAAACACTTTAGAGGGGTCCCAAGGTGTCTGTTCATAATCGATCTTGATTCATTTTATGATACTAAGCTTGAAATGGCGACAAAGATGAGGGACAATAGTCCGAATAATGTAAATAATGTACATAATAACTCATCTCAGAAAGATAGACGTCTACAGAGGTTTTTATACGCCATCTTGATTTTTTGATTTATGCCTTTCTGAGCTTGAAACGAGTCCAATTTCCAAATCATACGTCTGGTAGTGGTGTGAGCCACCGCTAGGGTACTTCAAGGTGCCTCTGTTCATAATCGATCTTGATTCATTTTATGATATTCTGAGCTTGAAATGAGTCCAATTTCCAAGTCATACGTCTGCTAGTGGTGTGAGCCACCGCTAGGGTACTTCAAGGTGCCTCTGTTCAAAATCGATCTTGATTCATTTTATGATATTCTGAGCTTGAAATGAGTCCAATTTCCAATTCATACGTCTGGTAGAGGTGTGAGCCACCGCTAGGGTACTTCAAGGTGCCTCTGTTCAAAATCGATCTTGATTCATTTTATGATATTCTGAGCTTGAAATGAGTCCAATTTCCAAATCATACGTCTGGTAGAGGTGTTAGCCACCGCTAGGGTACTTCAAGGTGTCTCTGTTCATAATCGATCTTGATTCATTTTATGAAAATGAAATGTTTTTCACAAAATAATTGACAGAGAAGGGGTTAAACGTTAATTTTTTATTTTTCTATTTCGGCTCATCTATGGATAACTTTTAAAAATCATATGTATAAGTTTTAAAAAATGTGGGCGTGAAATGAGGTTTTACACGATACATCTGAGTAAAATATTTTAGATTTTTAAATGAACAGATTAATACTTTTATTTTTATTTATTTAGTATTTCATGTTTTTTCATGAGAAAGATGGAGAAGATGCTATCTACATTTTGATATACCAGTGAACATCGTTAGGCAAACGAATGACAAATCTCGAAAAATATGTGTGATGTCTTTCTTCCATTTGGAGTTAATCAGACTAAAGTGATGTTTTTTGCTGATGAAATTATATATGCGAAGGAAGAGAGGGGGAGGATATGAACCCGAAACTTTAATAATAATTAATTAATAATTATTGATAATTAATTTAATAATAATTAATCACAGACAGAAACTGCTTAAATATTAGAACGATTAGATTATAAGTTTTAAAAAATATTACTTTCGATACAGACGTTAAAGACGAAACGCTTCACAAAATTTTTGTTCCCATTGTAATTAATTTCACCAATATTTTTCTTATATACAAAATTGTATATATATATATATATATATATTGAAAATATAAGTTTACATTGAAGTCAAATCTCAGAAGTGACAGTCTGTTACATGCTAAACGCAATCGTCAGACCATGAAACAGCTGAGTGTTGACTTCAATGTACAATTATATATATATATATATATATATATATATATATATATATATATATATATATATTCATATATTAACCCTGATATTGAGCACTTTAACCCATAAATATAGCATACCTTAAAATTAAAATTTTATTTTATATATATATATATATATATATATATATATATATAGAGAGAGAGAGAGAGAGAGATAGATAGATAGATAGATAGATAGATAGATAGATAGATAGATAGATATGGGTATGGTAAAAAAAAAAAACGTGTACGCACATATACTTGCACGAACATATATTTTCTCAGGTGTTATAAAACTGCTTAGTGTTATATTAATAGTGCTATTAAGTATATATTAATGAATATATATATATATATATATATATATATATATATATATATATAGTTTCTTCTTCTTTACCTTCGTTGAGTTTTCCTTTCTTCCTTTCTTCGCTTCTCCTCCTTTACTTTTGTTTACTTTCATTTTGTTTACTTCTGTTCTTATTTCTTTCATTTCTTGCTTACTTTATACCTTTAAAATTTTCCAACCTGTCTTCATTTTTTCTTTCACTTCTTTCTTTCTTTCTTTCTTTCTTTCTTTCTTTCATCTCTTTTCATCTTCGTTCTTTTATTTCTTTTACTTCTTCTTTCCTTCTTTCCTTCGTTGCTGCCAGAATTTCCTCTTTCTTTTTCCTGTATTTTTCATCAACTTTCAAGCCAAATGAAAAAACAAAACAAAAAACAATACGCCTTTTTTTCACTTTATCTCATAGCCTTCTCCCACTCCCTCTCATTTAATACCTCAGCCTTCCACTTGAATTGTTTGCCAAGAATCTTATCCTTATTGTCGAATTATTTCAAAATGGCGGACAATTTCGGGCGCAATAGGCGGGAAAACACTCTTCTTGGAGAATAGTGAGTTAAAATTTAATTTATTTTCTTTTAAAAGAACAACAAAAATAACATCTCTCCAATTCTCTGTAACTTTTTATACCTATGCCGACACACAACACATACACAGATACACACACACATACACACACACACACACACACAAAAACACACACACACACACACACACATATATATATATATATATATATATATATATATATATATATATATAGCTATGTTATGTGTGCGCAAGTATTTTACCTAAGAAGTTCTTTGATGTGTAATTATAGGATAGCCATTTTACTTTTTCCATTTGCACAAAAACATTATTTTTCAACTTTCTATCTCGCAGACATGTGTTCTCGAGGTGGTCACGTGATAGAACGAGTTGACATCGCTTGAAGTGTAAAGTGAAATGATAAGTGTCATGTACTGCTTTGGCCTTGGGCGACAAAGATGAAATATTCACGCGCAATCTGTGTGTTTTCCTTTGGGGGGCAGTTTTATGCAGTTACTTTCTGAACACTTTTTATTTAAGTTGCAAACAAAGTATTGTATTGTTTACTTGCTGCAAAGGTCATATTTCTGTCACTCTCTTAATCTATCTATTTCAGTTTTTTCTAAACCTCTCGCTTTATCGCTCTCTCTCTCTCTCTTCGTTACTTTCTTTTATCTATCTATCTATCTATCTATCTATCTATCTATCTATCTATCTATCTATCCCAGTCTGTTCTACCCATTTCTCTCGCTCTCTCTCTCTCTGATCATTACTTTATTTCTTTAATCTTTCTTTCTCAGCTTGTACATATCTATCTATCTATCTATCTATCTATCTATCTATCTATCTATCAAATTCTATTCGTATCTGTAAGTCTATCTATTTATCAATCTATCAATCCCAGTCTGTTTCTACCCACTTTCTCTCTCCCAGTCTCTCTCTCTTTCTTCTCTCTCTCTCTCTCTCTGACCATTACTTTCTTTCTTTAATCTTTCATATTTTAATCTAAATCTATGTATTTATCTATCTATCAAATCTATCTATCTATCTATCTATCTATCTAATTCTATTCATATCTATCTAGCCTAGTCTGTTTCTACCCACTTTCTCTCTCTCTGACCATTACCTTTCTTTAATCCCTTTCTTTCTACCCTCTCTTTCTGATCTATCTATCTTATCTTTTCTTTAATCTTTCTTTCTTTCTAAGCCTGTACGTATCTATCTATCTATCTATCTATCTATCTATCTATCTATCTATCTATCTATCTATCTATCTAATTTTATTCAGATCTATCAGTCTATCTATCTATGTATCTATCTGGACGGAGCGAGTTAACTATCTAAGTTATTTAACACCTGTTCACTGTCTATTATTCTTTTTCATTCTTTGAGAGTTTATTAATACCTCTGTCTAAGTCTATGAATACATACGTTTGGTTTATGTCCAGCAATTCAATGGTACATCTACGTCAATGTTCGTAAACATAGAATTTTGACATAAATATACACATACTACACATCATACATATAGGCACACACACACAAACAAACATGCACACACACACATATATACATATATATATATATATATATATATATATATATTATTAAGTCAATAATGGAAAACACTGTTGGTAGGAAGAGATAGGCCCCAACACAAAGATCGACATCTTAAAAGAATAGATCGAATCTTTCTTTTCAATTTAACCACATTAGTTTAGTTTTTTTTAATAGTCAAGTTTGCGTCTGCGCCAAGAAATAACGAAAGTTTATAAAATGACTTCTTTCCTTCTATCTATCTATCTATCTATCTATCTATCTATCTATCTATCTATGTCTATCTCTCTCTCCCTCTCTCTCTCTCTCTCTCTCTCTCTCTATATATATATATATATATATATATATATTTCATTGAATACGACAGACAAGGTGCTTTTATTTAGTTTTTATGAAATTTCTCATGCGATCTAATAATTGCTTTCCGAATGTTCTTTTTATCCGAGCGCTTTCGGCTATACATTTAGCCATTTTCAAGGATGAAATATTTTAACTGTTAAATAAGAACAACTTCTGGTGTATTGTCAGTTTTATTCTACATTCAACCCCATCACTTGATAAGACACCAGAAGTGTTGAATAACATTTTTATGATAGAATTTTCAAATAAATTATATTAGCTCTACTTTGCATTGCGCAGTCTTTTAAGAATAGTATTTTTGGTTATTGGAATTTATTCTATACTTGGCTATATATATATATATATATATATATATATATATATATATATATATATATATTAGTGACATTTACATAGCTTGATGTAAAATTATTGCGAATTCTTTAAATAAACTTGAATAACTGTCTTTCGCTTGTCGACGGGAATAAAAATAGCGCTGTTTTATTATTTACAGCAAAGCAAATTAGCTCATATTTCAACATAACCGAGATACCCGATATTATAAACCTCAAAATAGATATAGTTTTGTATTATTGATATCATTTTAGCTTATGAAACTATTTAGAAGTTATAACATTTACAAAATTTAAATCATTGCTTTCTAAAAGTTTTGGGGTAGCTAAGCAGCAACCTATACTAACCTAAAAGAGCACCACAGAGGATTCGGAAATTAGTGCACTTTCAATATATTTTTGTCTGAATAATAAAAAATATAAAACCAATAGAAAGCTGATAAATTAAACAACTTGACATCAATGATTTCGGTTTAAACCTGATCGTCCAGGTATCTTAAACGTTTCGGGCTAAAAAGGTACCCAGCAGTTTTTCTTCTCCCTTGCAAATATATATGATAAAAATGATAAAATATAGTTTTACGGGATGGTATATTTATAAGCAAAAGTGCTCAAAATCAGGGACAGAGCGTGTGTAAATATAAATATAGACAGTGTGATCAACACTAAGCGGCGACAGTCTGTTTTATGGTTTAACACAATCTTCAGGTCCGAAGAATGCGCTAAAGTATGAAACAGGCAGTTGCCTCTTGGTATCGACCTCGTATATATATATATATATATATATATATATATATATATATATATATATATATATATAATGATATATTGTAATGAGAGTCTGAGAACAGCCGTTCCTAGAAGGTATAAACACTAAAAAGTGCTCAATACAAAAATCTAAAATAGAACATGCAGAGGAAAACATTTAAATCCTTCTCCTTGCCTGAGGAGACCTTGTCGTCGAAACTCGGGTAGCAAGGTAGACTGTTTTTTTAGTATTTTCGTAAATATATACAGTAGAATTCCTGATAACCGGACTAAATGGCCTTCCGGATATGTATGTATATATATATATGTGTATATATATATATATATATATATATATATATATATATATATATGTAGTAGAATCTCTGTCAACCGGACTAAGAAAGCCTTCCGGATATGAGGAATTGGTTACAAAGTCCGGATATGAGGGATTATATTTAGATTAAAATAAAAGAACTGAAATCAGGTTTAACATTTATTTTCAATGTTTTCTAGTAAACAAAATAAGCTAATGGTGAGTGAAATATAATGGAATTGATTTTAAGGAAAAAAAGAAAGAAATTATGTAATGTTAATGAAAATTCATTAAATTAAGTATGCCACGTATGTAAAACAAATAATGTAACGAGGATTTTTTAATCGTTGTTGCATGATGATTCTTTCTCTTCTAATGTCATTCTTAACTTTTTCCACATTTCGTTTTGCTTTTGTTCTAGAATTTTTTAAAATTAAAGACACTTTTTAACTTTACATGCTTTATTGCAATCGTCATAGCTGAATGCTGGCTTTCTTTCCCTAAAACTGACAACCTTTACAGTAGCTTTTTCAATTTCAGTCCAGGTTTCATCACAATCATGTTTTTTTTATTTCCTTGTTCATTGTGACAGTGTGAACGCTGGAGAATAGTTTATTTGGAAGATTTTATATCATACAATTTTGACTTTCCTATGTTGAACTCAGCCATTAGTTACAATAAACTTTCACCAGCGTCTAGTCTGTTTAAAATTTCCACTTTTTGTGATAACTCCAAAGTTGTCCTTTTCCTCTTATTCTTATCACCTTTTGCATCAATACAAGCCATTAGGGTGAAATAAGCATAAGCAATTATGAAATGGACAAAGTCCAACAATTATTTTAAAACATTTTTTTATGTTCATACGTTCTTTTTATAGATACAAATATTTAATTAAATGCTCTGTTTATAATAAACAGTATAAACAACATTTACCGGCCTGAATGTCCGAGAAATTTTCATAGAATATATGCGTCCTCCGACAGGAATCGAACCTGTATCCTACATGGAACCGTCTTATAGCCTGACGTGCTTTTACCGATTTAGCCACAGAGGAGCGTTTCGGTTAGCAAGGTCGATTTTACTGTTTTTAAACTACAATTCTCGATGATTTTCATTCATATCTGTTCGATGCCTATCCAAATGTAAACAAATGACGTCATACATTATGAAATGGACAAAGTCCGACAATTATGTTAAGACATTTTTTATGTTTAAACGTTCTTTTTACAGATAAATATTTGTACCTATAAAAAGAGCGTATACACATAAAAAAGGGTTTTAAAATAAGCAATTATCCAAAGCAAATTTCCTGAAAAACAGAAATTACAAATCAGTTACATATCACCCAAATAGTTCAAATATACACAACAAAATCATGTCCGCATATGCGCGATTCCAGATATGAGGAACTCCGGATATTAGGGATTCTACTGTATATATTTATATATACACACACACACACACACACACACACACACACACACACACATATATATATATATATATATATATATATATATATATATATATAGAACAGTCAGATGTATAATCCGGCGTTCTTATTGATTTTTTTTTTTTTTTATTTTTCAAAACAATGCTCAATATAAATTTACAGAGCATAAATATTATAAATTAACTGATTTAAAATATGGTTTCTTTACTACACAGGAATTACCATGTTTCAAAAACCGAAGCTAAAAAATTAATTATAAAATTAAATTAAAAGTATTAGTTCTGTTTCATCTTCAAGCGAATTTGGGAACAGAACTAATGCTTTTAAAACTGAATTGTTTTCCTTCTCTCTGGTAGAGGCTGTAAGGATGCTTATATGTCAACAAACAACACCAGGAAATTACATATCACGTCAACACAGAAAATTGTATACCTGCTATGTCTAGCTCAAAGTAAGAAATGACCACATCAATGAGGAATTTCTTGTCTCTTCCATTAATGACCCCTTTCGAATCTCCGAATCCACTGAATGCATCGATCTAATAGAGATATTTTATCGATTCACTAAATCTTACATGTTTGCCGAGGACCCTAATACGGAAACCTTTCAAACGTTATCGCTAGTTCTGTGTGTTCGTCTGTGTACGTGCGCGCGCGTGTGTGTGTGTGTGGTCGATGAGCCTCCTGCTTAATATTAAATTCTTCTTTATGAGCAACTTCACAAATGTTTACACCTAACATTCACAATGACACTTGTGTTGCCGATTAATGTTCACCTTGATTTATGTTCGAGCGTCAAATTCAAACGACTTGACGAGATCTTCTTGACTAGATCTTGACGAGATCTTCTTGACGAGATCTTCTTGACAAGATCATCTTGACGAGATTTTGACGAGATCATCTTGATGAGATCTTGACATCATCTTGACGAGATTATGACGAGATCGTCTTGATGAGATCTTGACGAGATCTTCTTGACGAGATCTTCTTGATGAGATTTTGACGAGATCTTCTTGACAAGATCATCTTGACGAGATCTTGACGAGATCTTCTTGACGAGATCATCTTGACGAGATCATCTTGATGAGATCTTGACGAGATCTTCTTGACGAGATCATCTTTACGAGATCTTGCTAAACGAGGTTTACACAAAAGATTCCCATGCATTACGAAGTGTGTCTCTTAGTAAAGCACACAACACGGTCATTCAATGGAAGATGTTAGAATTTTTTTCAAATTCAATCCGTTTTTAGACAGAACGAAACATTTTTTTTTCCTTTTGCAAGATCCTTTATTTTATAATTACTTTTTTGTCCTCATATATTATCGACACTATCCGATTCTATCTTTATTTATCTACCATTCTGGTCGTCTGACTTTCAGTCAAACTCTGTGTCAACTTTTCATATCTAAGTCGCCCACGCAAAATGAAAGAAAGAAGGGAAATATAATTCTTCTATGGCCAATTTTAAAATGCAAGATTCTTAATATTTGGCCCTGAACCAAAACTCCAAGATGAAAGACTAATTATTGACTTCAAAGTCAAAACGTCACCCGCCCATCCACTCGACAAAAAGAGGATTTCCAAAAATGATCTCTCTTATGTTTCGTTCTACCTTTCTTTCTTCATCTCTTTCCCTCTTTTCCACTTTCTTTTCGTTTCTCTCTTCCCTACAGTATATACATTCATAATGTATTTGAGATCCTACAAAGGCAGACTGAGAAAATATTTGTAGCGACACAAATATGGTTTTACCAACGAATAAGAAGAACACTAATCAGAAAATACCACTAATGCGACTGTTTCGTGAAATCGTCATGGCCAGAAGATTGCGTTCAAGTATAAAACAGGCTGTCGACATTTGATGTTGATGTCAGTGTCCACTTTTATATTTACATACGCTCTAGCCCTGATATTGTAGACTATTATCCATAAATATAATTTACCATATAGCTATATTTTTTATCATATATATATATATATATATATATATATATATATATATATATATATATATATATATATATATATATATATATATATATAATTTATTCGGAAATTATAACATAAACATGTTATAAAATCACTACAAAAATAGCCATTTTGTGTCAACACTTCTGATGTCTTATCAGTTTTATTCTACATTCAACACCATCACTTGATAAGACACCAGAAGTGTTGAAACAAAATGGTTATTTTTAACACAAGTTTTTAAGGGATAGTTTTAGATTGATTTAAAGTGACAGAGGGAGTGGGAGAGGGAGGACCATAGAATGATCTAAATTAGAATTGGAAATTAGGGATAAGGTTGTGCTTAAATCCATCTTTATTAAGTTACGTAAGTTCAATTGTACTCAGTTAATTTATATATATATATATATATATATATATATATATATATATACAACATAACACCCTTCATATTCCATAGCCCAAATAAGTAGTTTAAATACCTTACATAATAGATAACCCTTTATAAGTCGTCAAACAACAAACGTTACGAAAGTTTTTCTTTTTATTATATGCACAATTCCCTTTCATAATAAAATAAAATAAAATAAATAAATAAATCTCCATAGACAAGCAAACTAGACGAAGGTTAATACATCTTCCGTTTCATTTTAGACACCCCCACCTTTCCCCGACTTGACATCTTGAAAGTATCTCTATACCGCTACTTATTATTAACACCCTACACTCGCCTACCCAATTTAAACAATTCGCCCTTGCTGTTACCATAGAGATTTTGATTTCAATTTTTAAAACAAGTAAATTTCAGATATACGTTATTCCAACAAAAATTTCGCTTGAAGATGGAACGGAGCCCATTTTAATTTAAACTCAATTTAAAAAGGATTATATTGAAGTTTTCGGCTCTTGTTTTGAATGTAGCGATTTGGAATCATATTTTTAAATAAATATATATATATATATATATATATATATATATATATATATATATATATATAGATAGATAGATAGATAGATAGATATAGATATATTAATGCATGTTTCGTTAAATAATATAGACAATATGTCTATTTATTTTAAGTAAATTCCTTTCATATTGTCGAATAGGCTTTTTAGTATTATCACTGAAGCATGAAAGAAAATCACCATGTTGATACATGTTTTTATTGTTAATCCTGTCTAAGTTTTCGGCTTACATAAGCCATCATCAGAGATTACAAGTACATTACAATAAATTAATTAACATATATATAAAATTATAAAATAGACTTTGTACCTCCAAACATTTGTATATATATATATATAAATATATATATGTGTGTGTGTGTGCGTGTGTGTGTGTATTTAGATAGATAGATAGATAGATAGATAGATAGATAGAGATAGATAGTAAGGTAATGAGGCTTTGACAATCCATGTGGATGTAATCCAGAGAGCTCAATGTAACACCAGAGCAAATATTCATTAAATAATTAAGAAAGAGACAACCTCAAGGTTCCATGACTATAATTTATTTCCCCAGAAAATATATTTTTCCTGGTTCATCAGGTCATATCTCTAGTTACAACGGAATTTGGTTTCATTTATGCTTAATACAAGTTTTGAGGGATAGTTTCAGATTGATATAAGCTGACAGAGGGAGTAGGAGGGGGAGAGGAACATAGAATGATCTCTATTGGAAATGGAACGTAGATATAGGGTTGTTTTTAAACTATTTTTAATAAATTATGTAGGTTCAAGTGTACTCAGTTAAGAGGCCAGACAATTTGATCTCTTAAATAATTATTAGACAGGAAGAGAAAAGAAGGGAAAAAAGATAAATTGTAAAACATGGGAAGGGGGAAAAGAGAAAGAAGAAAGAAAAGAGTTAAATAGGGGAGGGATAAGCAAGAAGAAAGAGTGACTTATCATATGTCGCCATATCATGGTGACACTTGAAAAACACACGTCAATATCATTTATAGTTAATACTAAACTATTAAACATTACTAGCAAAGTAGGAATCAAATAAAATAACATATATTAATAATATTAGTAATAATATTATTAATCCTGATTAATACAAGTGTAATTGTAATATATTAAAGATTATTTAAAAATTTTTAAAAGAGAATAAAAATAATAATGTTATTATTAACAACTATAATAAAGGTTAAAAATTAAATTTGAACTTTAAAATTTAAAATTTAAAAATTAAAATTAAAATTTATAAATGGTAAATAAAATATATTTAATATTAATTAAACATTAAATATTTATATTAATTTAATATTAATAAGCGGATTACTTACTACTACTACTACTACTAATAATAATAATAATAATATTAATCATAATAATAATAAAAAAAATTATAATAATTAGATAAAATATAAAGAGTAAAATTTAAAGAATAATAAAAATATTAAAATAATGATGTTGCTTGGTAAATTTGTTTAGTAACCTTATTTCGATGGGAAACTCTGCAAAGTAAATGAAAAGCCTAAATATATACACGCATATACATATACCTATTCTTATAGATATATTTACATATATATAATGATATCAACCAAAAAATACAATTATATAAAAAATAACACATAAAATAATCGCATATACATCATAAATATGTACATATATATACACAAATAGCCAAATATATACAAATATATCGACAACTGTGTACATATATATATATATATATATATATATATATATATATATATATATATATATATATATATATATATATATATATATATATATAGAGTAATATTTTATTGTTTAAAATATGGTTCCTTATGGAGCACTGTCTCCTTAAAAATAAAAAACAAAAATACTAAGGAACTCCGGATTATACACCCAACGAGTTCTTTTCTATTTTCTACATACCTGCGCACTTATATATTTATATATATATATATATATATAAACCAGGTATTGAACTCACATTCTTTGGGTCCTGTCACTGGATCTTACTAACGCCTTTATCCACTGTGACATGTTAAGGCGGTGGAGAACTTGGAGAGGGGAATTAACAGGAGATAACTGATAACTGACATCCATCAAACATGGCACGTGGAACTAGATCAGTCTACCCCAGTGAGCGAAATAAAAGGTTCAGTTCGACATTCCAACCACCTGAAGAAGGCCGGAGTGTACAACGGCCGAAACGTTGTAATAAATAATGGCGACAAAGATGAGGATGATAGTCCGAATAATGTCAATATTTACATTATACCTCATCTCAGAAATATAGACAGAGAAATTTAGAAGTTTAGAGACGGCGAATATGCTGAAAAATGATCCTGAATATATATATATATATATATATATATATATATATATATATATATATATATATATATATATATATATATATTTGAACTTAATTTCAATCCTTCATGTGCTTCCAATCCTCAGCTATGATTAATTAATGATGAACATGTAATTTTTGTTTATAATCGATTTTATCACGATTCTTCTGTTCAGCTTCTTATTGCTCGAAGTAGAGTTCAATAGTGTTATAAAATCTTCGGAAAATTCCAGTAAGATATCTTTAATCATTTCTGAGATACAACGGTTCAAAGCTTAATTTAACAAATGGACAATATTGCATTTATACATGATTTGGACAATTTTGCTGTTACACTTGGAGAGAGAGAGAGAGAGAGAGAGAGAGAGAGAGAGAGAGAGAGAGAGAGGGGGATGTTTGTTAATCCTTTTTGGTGAGTTTCATCTCCTGTCAAATAAATCCTTCGATGTATAAATTTATGAAGAAAATGGCGAAATTGCATGTTATCTTCCGAGTACTTCCAACCAGCAAAAAAGTTGGAAATCGAAAATAATCCGATGTAGCGTTTACTGTTCGAAGATACAATGGTTGTGAAATAGATTTTAATATCATATGGCTAAAATCGCCTTACAGTTCGAAAGCATTTTAACACACACACACTTGTAGATCGAAACATATTTTATTGATGTGGGCTGCCGATCTTTCATCTGAAGTTCTTCCAGAATTTGTCGTTTTTTTTTTCTTCATAGTTGGGTTGACAGAGTACAATTGCATTATCGACCAACATCCAGCGTCAATATGAATGTCATTTTTGCAACGTGATGCCAATCGTCTTTATAATACGCAACAATTTGCACCACATTGCAAAATAGTTTGCACATTGCTTTCCCCTGCATTTTGAGTCGGTGTTCCGTGTGTGTGTATATATTCTCCAATACTTTCTTTCATTAAGTACCCACAAAATTTAGAGTTTATCGATAGCACCGTATAGAGATTGTTAAAATGTTTTCTTTATTTGTAACGAAATTGTCCCGCATTCACTGCCATATCGAAAATTACACATTACATAGGACACGAGCACCTTTTTCGTTTTCATAGTAATTCAAAATGTGTGTGGTTGTTCTGTTTGTGCATTTTTGTGTGTGTATGTGTACGTGTATGTGATTGTGCGTGTGTGTCTGTGGGGTGTGGAAATGCATAGCAAATTAGATTCATTGCTCACTGCTGTTAAATAGTAAGTTTGTCCTATATTTGCAGCGTTGTACTAATCTTAAGTGCAACAGAGTAAATAATAAATGTAGATATAAAGAAAGAAGGAAGGAGCGGTAGTAAAAGAAAGACAGCAATAGTAAAGAAAGAAAGAAAGGAAGAAATAAGAGAAAAGAAAGAATTATTTTACAAAAGAAAGAAAGAGGAGAATAACAAGAAAAAAGAAAGAATGGAGTTAAAAGAAAGAAAGAAATAAAGAAAGAAAGAAAGAATGAAAGAGGAGAATAACAAGAAAAAAGAAAGAATGGAGTTAAAAGAAAGAAAGAAAGAAAGAAAGAAAGAAAGAAAGAAAGAAAGAAAGAATGAATGAAAAAAGAATAACAAGAAAAAAAAGAAAGAATGGAGTTAAAAGAAAGAAAGAAAGAAAAAAAAAAAAGAAAAAAGAAAGAAAAAAAAAAAATGAAAGAAAAGAAAGAAAAAAAAAAAGAATAACAAGAAAAAAGAAAAAAAAAAGAAAGAATGGAGTTAAAAGAAAGAAAGAAAGAAAGAAAGAAAAAAGAAAAAAAAGGAAAGAGGAGAATAACAAGAAAAAAAGAAAAAGAATGGTTAAAAGAAAAAAGAAAGAAAGAAAGAAAGAAAGAAAAAAAGAATGAAAGAGGAGAATAACAAGAAAAAAGAAAGAATGGAGTTAAAAGAAAGAAAGAAAGAAAGAAAGAAAGAAAGAGGAGAATAACAAGAAAAAAGAAAGAATGGAGTTAAAAGAAAGAAAGAAAGAAAGAAAGAAAAAAAGAATGAAAGAGGAGAATAACAAGAAAAAAAGAAAGAATGGAGTTGAAGTTGAAAGAAAGAAAGAAAAAAGAAAGAAAGAAAGAAAGAAAGAAGAGAATAACAAGAACAAAGAATGAATGGAGTTGAAAGAAAGAAAGAAAGAAAGAAAGAAAGAAAGAAAGAAAGAAAGAAAGAAAGAAAAAAAGAATGAAAGAGGAGAATAACAAGAAAAAAGAAAGAATGGAGTTAAAAGAAAGAAAGAAAGAAAGAAGAAAGAAAGAAAGAAAGAAAGAATGAAAGAGGAGAATAACAAGAAAAAAGAAAGAATGAAGTTAAAAAGAAAGAAAGAAAAGAAAGAAATGAAGGAGAATAAAAGAAAAAAAAAGAATGAAAGAAAAAGGAAAGAAAGAAAGAAAAAAGAAAGAAAGAAGTTAAAAAGAAAGAAAGAAAGAAAGAAAGAAAGAAAGAAGAGAATAACAAGAAAAAGAAAGAAAGAAAGAAAAAAGAAAGAAAGAAAGAAAGAAAGAAAGAATGAAGTTGAAAGAGGAAATAACAAAGAAAGAAAGAAAAAGAAAGAAAGAAAAGAAAAGAAAGAAAGAAAGAAAGAAAGAAATAAAGAAAGAAAGAAACAAAGAAAGAATGGAGTTGAACAAAGAAAAGAAAGAAAGAAAGAAAGAAAGAAAGAAAGAAAGAAAGAAAGAATGAAAGAAAGAAAGAAAGAAAGAGGAGAATAACAAGAAAAAAGAAAGAATGGAGTTAAAAGAAAGAAAGAAAGAATGAAGTTGAAAGAAAGAAAGAAAAAAAGAAAGAAAGAAAGAAAGAAAGAAGAGAATAACAGGAAAAAAGAAAGAATGGATTTTTAAAAAGAAAGAAAGAAACTAAGAAACAAACAAAGAAAGAATAACAAGAAAAAGAAAGAATGGATATTTTGAGAAAGAAAGAAAGAAAGAAAGAAAAAAAAGAAGAGAATAACAAGAAAAAAGAAAGAATGGATTTTTTAAAAGAAAGACAAAAAAGAAAGAATAGATTTTTAGAAAGAAAGAAAGAAAGAAAGAAGAGAATAACAAGAAAAAAGAAAGAATGGATATTTTAAAAGAAAAAAAGACAGAAAGAGAATAGAAAGAAAAAGAAAGAATAGATTTTTAGAAAGAAAGAAAAAAGAAAAAAAGAAAGAAAGAAAAGAAAAGAATAACAAGAAAAAGAAATAGTGGATTTTTAAGAAGGAAAGAAAAAAGAAAGAAAGAAAGAAAGAAAGAAAGAAAGAAAGAAAGAAAGAATGGATTTTTTCAAAGAAAAAAAGACAGAAAGAGAATAGAAAGAAAAAGAAAGAATAGATTTTTAGAAAGAAAGAAAAAAAGAAAGAAAGAAAAGAATAACAAGAAAAAGAAATAGTGGATTTTTAAGAAGGAAAGAAAAAAGAAAGAAAGAAAGAAAGAAAGAAAGAAAGAAGAAAGAATGGATTTTTTCAAAGAAAAAAAGACAGAAAGAGAATAGAAAGAAAAAGAAAGAATAGATTTTTAGAAAGAAAGAAAAAAAGAAAGAAAGAATAGAAAAGAATAACAAGAAAAAGAAATAGTGGATTTTTAAGAAAGAAAAAAGAAAGAAATAAAGAGACTCGAAAGGAAATGAAAAAATGGATTTTTAAAAAGAAAAAAGAAAGAAACAAAGTATTTGTGCGTAAAAGAAAACAAAACTGAGAGAGCGAGAGAGAGAGAGAGAGAGAGAGAGAGAGGCTGTTCATATTAAGTTTTCACTAATATCCTAGGGCGGAGGTTGAACCTCTTCTTCCCTGTGTTCTATCTTAACAAAATGTTTCCTTCTGAGGAAAGAAGAAAGAGAGAATATTTGGTGAAATGATTCCCTCACCTACACAAACAGAAAATATCCCAGAACTGCTAAAACCGCTGCCAATCATCATGGAGACCCAACAAGCGTATAATGAACTGATATTTTTTCAAGTGTTACTTAGAACCAATGATTCCAATGCAAGATAAAGACTTTCTCTTAAGCTCTTATCTACGGCGAACAGAGATTGTAGTCAGGGAAATAAAGAACAAACGTTTGGTTTTAGCTGATCTCCAACAGCAACGAAATTGTTTTGGCGTTCTGAAAGGTTTTGGTGTGTGAAGAGAAATTGACGATTATTAGTTTGACACAAGTCCAATAAATATTGGAGGGGGGGTCATAAAGGGGCAGAGAATTCAGTATATGAGAGTAACAGATAGCGTGATTAACCGGCGAAATATTACCTCATGGTGAGGTACATAAAAGTGAATGAGCAAACACGCTGTCTATCTATCTATCTATCTATCTATCTATCTATCTATCTATCTCTCTCTCTCTCTCTCTCTCTCTCTCTCTCTCTCTCTCTCTCTCTATATATATATATATATATATATATATATATATATATATATATATATATATAAATATGATTCCTTCGCTACATAAAAAAGTTCTAATGTTTCAAAAACGAGAATTTTCGCTTGAGGATGAAACAGGGTTTGATACTTTAATTCAATTTAATTTTAATAATTATACTGAGGTTTTCGGCTCTCGTTTTTGAAACATGAGAACTCTTATGTAACGAAAGAATCATATTTTTTTAAAAATAATTATAATTTAAGCTCTACTGCTGTATAGAGCACTGTTTTTTTTTAAATAAAAACACAAATACTAAATATTATACAATATAATGGATAGCAGCTTGGATTGAGGAATCAGAGAGCCGAGTTCGAATTCCAGTCGAATCCATTGCATTCACTTACGTGCTAATACCCTTAGGAAAGGTGTGAATCCTCTTCTTCTCCTTCCACCTATGGGCAAATCGCAGGACAGACTGTGTTCTATAGCCTTGGATGGCAACTGGTCTAGGAGAAGGACAACTCTGAATTCAAAACCTGCGGAGTGTCGTTTGGGGACATTGTGGCACGTAGTGCACCAGGTCTCTGTATTCGGCCATTCCAAAAAGTGTGGATGGTCCTGCACGAAACCTTCACCACTATAATCAAATCTCAATTAAATTATTGTTTATTATTTAGGTAAATAACAGACTCTTATTGTTTAGGCACGTCAACTGATTTTTCGTTACCTAAAGTTTAAAATTAATTTTTAAAAATGAAAAAGCATTCTTGCAGATTTCATTTTACTTTTAATTGAAAGCAAATGATTAAATTGACTATTTCCAGTCAGTAAAATATTTCTGGTGTATAAATTATATAAATCGGAATTTCAATTTTTTTGGACGATTTCAGAAAATTTTCTTACAAGCGACCATTTTCTAAATTTTAAGAAATTTGTAATCAAAACAAAATTATCGGTTTTAAAAATCTTCAAAAAATTAAAATATATATTTCTAACACGTTATTTGAGTAAAATTAGCAAATTTAAACTTAAATTAATCTGATTTGAAATAAACATTACTTACTTATAGCACAAAAATGAATATACAAGCATATCTTAACGACGGGTCCTCTTTTTCTTTGAATTGCATCGATGAATTCCGATGTGATGACATCTAGTATGGATGATCAGAATTGATATAAATTTGCGAAAATCTAAGTGAACGCTTTTTTATTTATTTATTTAATTCCTAGTAATTTTGACTTTTAGTTACTTTTGAAAATGCTTTATGAAATTTGGATTTCGTCTATAGGTTCTTACGTTTACTAACTTACTAACAAAAATATTACTTAATTGAAGTATGACCAAAACTAAAATAGCTAAACTAAAACTATTTAGTGAAATGCCAATTAAAAAAGTAAAACTTGAAAATTTGAAGGGATGATTTGTAAAGACTTTAACGACAAAACAGAACTGAATAATGAAATTGAAAGTATTACAGAGCGCCTGATGACTCTTAAATCACGTGACCTTTTAAAGGATAATATCATTTATGGCTTACCATACTTAGAAACTGGGAACGTTTATACACTAGAATTTTTTTTAATTTTTAAAAATATTTGAGAACAAAAGACTGTTATGAGATTTTCAATGTTTGATTCGTTAATGTACTTTTTACTTAACAATATCACCAAACCGCCGCTTTATGTAAAATTTTAAACGATTTTTTAATACTATAAATTATTTAATTAATTTTTTTAAAGAAATGATAACATATCTTATAAAAATTAATTATTCAACGAAAAAAAAAATTCTTCTTAGGACAATCGTGTACTTAATCTTATTTATCAAAGCAATTAAAAGCTTTTTTAATTTACTGCTGTCATAGATTTATTGCATTTTTCATTTTGCAATTTAGAGCAGATTTTCGCTGAAAGTAGTAACTCTTTTACAAAAGTCGACTTTTCAGGAAGGTAACTTTATGATGTTATCGGCCTGAGGAAGGCGATCCCAGCTGCGGCACATTTGTAAAATTCCTGAAAGGCATACCAGGAGTTGAGAAATACCTTTGTGAATGAAATTGGGTAGACGTAACTACTCGGGAGCCGTCGGTGGTTGCGCTAGCACGAAGTCACAAGTCATCGCGACCGAGGGATTAAGTGTGCTGGCCGTGTTCAGATTGTTCATCACGTTAGCTTTGCCCTCTCCTTGTTGCGCTAAGGTCCGCTTAGCATGATTGCAGTATAAACCATAGGTAGGGTCTGTGGGTGCCTGAGCAGGCATCTGCAACAGGGATTGGATAGTCACCATAGCAACCTCAGAGATGAACGGTCAGCCATTATACATACATATATATATATATATATATATATATATATATATATATATATATATATATTCTATGGACATAGTAATTTTATAATAAAGCTCTAAAGAAGTGGCTATAAATGCCCAAAACTCAATTATAAAATTAAAAAAAATGAAAAATAGAAAAAACAGAAATAGATAAATCATCTGGTATACACCTACATACAACCAAATGGTTAAAAATAAAGTAGGACAAAAATTCGTTGCATTAATAAATAAACATTTTCCTAGAGACAGTACAAACTCAGTACAATTTTTAATAAAAAATACCCTTAAATTAAGTTACTGTTGTACTGAAAACTTAGAAATGATTATTAAGAAACATAATGCTAATATCTTAGACTAAAATAAAAGAAATATAGATTTTAAAATAAAAAGAAATGAAGATCAAGAAAAATTATGCAACTGTAGAAATCCTCAAAACTGTCCTCTTAATAATAAATGCCATATTGAATCAATAATTTATCTATGCAATATTTCTTACATTGAAGATCCAGAAAGAGTTAAATTCTACAGTGAGTGTACAAAGTTTGAATTCAAGAGACGATGGAGCCAACATCAAATATCCTTTAAAAATAGTTAATACAGAAATCAAACATCACTATCTAAATAATTATGGCACTTAAAAGAAACCAATAAAACAACAACAGTAAAAAGGAAATTACTAAGAAGAGCTCGAGCTGGTTGGCCATTAAATAATCCATGTCCTTTGTGCATACATGAAAAATTATACATCAATAAGTTTCTGAAAAATAAAAATTTACTTAATCAAAGAAAGGAAATAGCTATTTTTTGCAGACACTGTCAAATATTTTCCTTAAATAATGTTTAATTTTGAAAAAGAGATGAAAGATGAAATATACATATTTATACTTGATCAATAATTTCTTAAATACGAATTTTTGTAAAAAATAACATATAGTCTATTAGTTATTAGAAGTAGAAAAGTATTTTAAATTTGTAGGAATAGATTTTAAATATTAAAAATACGACTTACTCATATTCAGACGAAGAAATGTTTGTGTATAAATTATAACTTAAGCGATAAAATAAAAATGCCAAAATTTTTATCATTGAAAAACACATACGACACACAAAAAATTGGTATCATTATTTGCGAGCAGACAATACTAACCCAAGTTAACTTAAGCTTATTTTGAAAGTAACTTATATTTGATACATATGTTGTCTAGGGAAATTAAAACCCAACCAACCTTTATCAAAATGAGTGAATTTTCCGTAACCTTAACAATTTAAAATATTAAGATGTCTGTGCTTATAAATGAACTAAATTTCTTAACAGGTTTTTCCAAAAATCGCTTGAGAATGGGACGGAGCTATGAATTTTAAATTTAATTTTATAATTAAATTTAAAATTTTAGTTTCTGTCAGAAACGTGGTAATTCCTGTGGAACGATGGAACCAAATTTTTAAAATATTATGCTCTACGGTTTTATATAGAGCACTGCTTATTTTTTTTTAAATAAAGATAATTGCTTAGGACTTAGGACCAGCTTAATAAAAAATATCTAAATGTTGGACAATTTTTGTCTTCATTTTCAACAGAAATTAAAGCAAACATTCGAAATATAGAACTGCTCATGATCAGACATAACAGACATTCATTGTCTGTTATATTTAATAATATATGTTTAAATAATGATCTGCTGCCCTAATATATATATATATATATATATATATATATATATATATATATATATATATATATATATATATATATATATATATATATATATATATATATATATATATATAGTATTGGGGCATATATATATGTGTGTACGTATGTGTGTGTGTACCAGTGTCTGTGTGTGTAAATTATTTTCAGGTAGTGTGTATCTGTAATGAATAATGAGACAGGAGAAATAATTATTCTTAGCAGATGCATTTTGTTCTCAGAGTGACTTTATCAAGGCAAATGATAAAGTCACTCTGAGGACGAAACGCGTCGTCTAAGAATGCTTGTTCCGTATGTCTTTTTATTCATATATATATATAATCGAACGAAAAACATTGCTATAACTGGTATATAACGATAAAATAAAATAAAATACTACGTTACTTAAAAATCGAAAACCGAAAAGAGTAAATAAAATATACAGTATAATAAATAAATAAAAAAAAAAGAAGTAAAATAAATTAATCTAAATTAATTCAGATAAATAAATAAATAAACTAACAAACCGC